GGCCTCTCTTGCCCGGAGGGGGTGGGGTGCGGTGGGGAGAGTCCTTTGGCAGGCTCTCTCTATCTAGATATAAACCCTCCCAAGCACCCCTGAAAGCAGAAAATCTGGATGCCAAAGATGAGGGTGAATGGATTCAGTGAGGGAGGTCTGCTGGGAGGGGACCCACTGGGAGCGCTAAAGCGGTTAGAGATGTGGAGGGGACGCAGGGGGAGTTGGTGGGGTCCAGCAGTGATGTGGGCTGCTGGGCACCAGCTCGCGGAGGCCCGGCTCCACAAGGGAGCCTCCAGGCATGGAGGAGCCCTGAGGTGCAGTGCAGCGTCACCCTGGCTCGGCCCTGCCATCCTTGGACAGGCCTCCAACACGAATGGCAAGCCCTGCTTGGACACAGCCAGCTCTGCCCACTTTGCCCTCCACCTGCCGCTCTCTAGTCCTTAAGGGAATACAGATCTGGCTTTGCCTACAAGTGATAACAGCACGTCTTGGGCTGTCCCTAAATCATACCCTTCAACTGACTCCCAAAGCAAAGGCAGAGACAGAAAGTGGGTTTTGCCTGGAGATGACCCTGTGGATGAAGGAATAGTATAACCCTGCCTCTTCAAGGGAACAATTACATTCTTGGGTACATACCCTCACACATCAGTAGCCCTCCAATCCCAGGGCTACCTCTCCATTCAAATTCAGAGGTATTGGCACCACCTGGTTTCTAGTTTTGCCACAGCCCCTGCCAAACCTAGACAGCTCAGTAGGATGAGGCTATGCGCAGAAGCATATGTTAGAGCAACATCATTAATATCCAGCTGCCACCACCTGTCCAACCTGTGTGATCAGCTATAGCAAAGGATCGTCCTACAGCCTGTAGGATGGGTTTGCCAGAAACATGTGCTCACAATCGCAGTGAGACACTTGAACCACTTGGCCACCATATGCCTATTGTTGTGAGATTCAGATTCACATACTGTAAAAAACAAAATGCGCCCCACTGTCTCCTTCTGTCATTATGGTTTTGATGAATTACAATATCTTTGGTCTTTGAATGAAGAAAGGACAACAAGGAACCAGCTGCAATCTTGTGACAATTTATAAGCATCCTTCCATAGTCTTGTCCTTTTTGGGAGCTCTGCTCTAGTATTAGGAGAGGAGATCATTTCACCTTTTGATGATAACACATTATTAAAGTTGGTTTAACGATAATCTTGGTTCAGCTACTTCCAGTACTTAAGAGACACAGCATCCCGACCCTCCTGATTTCGTGACTGCTGCATATAACTCCTTTTTTTTCTTCTCTGTCATTTCCTTTCACAAAATCACAGAATAATTGGGGTTGGCAGGGACTTCTGGAGATCATCTGGTCCTACGCTCTGCTCAAGCAAGGTCACCTACAGCAGGTTGCCCAGGATTATGTCCAGTCAGTTTTTAAATATCTGCAAGGATGGAGACTCCACAACCTCTCTGGGCAACTCGTTCCTGTGTTCAACTACCCTCACAGTAAAGAAATGTTTTCTTATGTTCAGACAGACCTTCCTGTGTCTCACTGTGTGCCCACTGACTCTTGTCCTCTCACCAGGCACCCCTGGGAAGAATCTGGTCCTGACCTCTTGACAGCTTCCCATCAGATATTTATAATCATTGATAAGATCTCCCCTGAGCCTGGGGATGGGGGGAAACTCAAAAACTAAGGGCCTGTGTACATGACTGTGAGCTTGGATTGTATCTCCCACAACTCTATTAATCTCTCTACAAATCTTATCTCCCTTAGCTCCATCATGGCCACATGACTGCTCTTTTATCCAGCCTCTCGCAAAAGGTACTTTTTATTTAATAATCAGTTACAGCAAAGAAGGTAAATTGCATGGTTTCCAGTAGATATGCTTTCTGTCCCGGTTCTTGAACTATCTTCTACTAAAAATGAACTCCTAAGATGCATCATTCTTATTTCAACCTCCAGTGACATCATGAGCTGCAAGTTATGACCACAGAATAGTTTGTGTGCCTTTTGAGTGTCATAAACTAACAGTCATTTCTGTTTTGGAAGATACTATTCTTATGAAAGGAAATGTCCAAATAGTTCGACTCTTTGGGGTTACAAATCAGACCTTTTTGTCAGTTCTAACTTTCTCCTACTAGAAAACAAGCAGCAAAATCATACATCAGAGTACAGACTGATGGTGTGAGTGTTAGATATAATTTGAAGTGTACAAGACTGCTAATAGTTGCTAAGTGCTAAGTGCAAATATTTACCTGGAAATTGCTTTGTTCCTCCTCTCAGACTTCATGCCCTACTGTGTCTAACCTGATCCTTCCACAGAAGATTTCAACTTAGTTCCACAAGCGTTCATACGCGGAGCGCCACCAAACTGTAGAAGTAGTATAAATGCAAATTTAAAGGTGATTGAGTCAGCTGTACTAAACTGGATGAGAAACTTGTTAGCAGAGCAAGGCTCTCAGATGAAGGCCCATAAAAACTGCATACTGCTACTCACCTCCATTAAATCCGTTTTTGGTATTTTGCCTCCTGGGCAGCATCTTGCTACCTGTGAGGCCACGCTGATTCATGTAGAAATTGGAAATGAAAGCTTTGCTTTAGAATGAAGTTTTAGGATCACTTCATTACCTCAAATAATGTATCTAAGTGTGACTACATTGCATTTTCAAGGGTCATTACGTTTATAAGCTGTGAAAGTTTGATCAAAGGGATGTTTAAATAACTGTAAACACTGAGCTCTTGACTCTGGAGCTACTTACAAGCTTTGTGCTCTAAGTTAACTCTCTTTAAGGGCCAGCTATTTTCTTCCCTTTTTAATTAAATGTGCTTATTTCAGAAGCTTCTTAATACAGAATATTAAAAGCTGCACTCAAGGGAATTAGTGGGTACAGAGGGTGAAATACAAGCAACAGGTCCTTTCCTGTTCTGACCATATAGCTTTCCAGTGTAAAAACAGCTCTCCCCATAATAATGAACCTCTTCTACTTTTGAATCTCTCCCTCATAAAATAAAATGAAGAAAAAAGTAGACCCAGACAGAGTCCTGTGCTCTGAAAGAAAAGGGTGCTAAAGATTCCCAGGGACCCCCTAAGGCTTCCCACGGTGTTGACATTTAGAGAGAGCACTGTCGGATAACACGAGAGGGGCCTTAAAAAGGCCATAGAGGGAGAGCTACAGAAACTAAAGATCTTGCATCATAGTTTGATACCATGTCTGTTAGGGTGCTGCATGGCCCTGGCTCTGCGGCCAGGGGCTCCTTGGTGGTAGCAGGGCCAGGCCTCACCAGGCCTGGTCCCACCACCTGTGAAGGAGCAACACAGCTAGGGGCATCAGGCACGCCACAGGGATGGGGCTGGGCTGAGGCTGGGCAGTCATCTGCAGGTCGGGGTTGAGGTTAGCGGAGCCCATGGCCTGGCAAGGGCAGGGCTGTGGCAGGACTGGAGCCTGGTACCACTGCAGCATCGTGAGGCAGGGACTGATGGCCCTGGGGTTGGGCTGAAATAGGGGCCTGGAGATGAGTGGGGTGGGAGGTGGAGGTGCCAGGAGAACTGGTCAGAGCCATTAAGGCCTTTTAGTGCCCTTAGGGCCCTGACACTCTGTGCTGTTGGTCATAGCCAGGTCTACAGATAATGAAGTTTACTTTCAGGAGTGCTGAAGTAAAGTTAGAGAGCACCCAAATAATTGTATGCATGCTAGGTTTGAAAAATACTGGTTTAATGTGTCGAAAATCAGCTGAGTCTCCTGGTGCTCTGTTGCATGAAACTTGAGATGAGAAGCCATTTTCAAAGCTTCTCTGACCTTCCACCGCAAACACATGCATTTATATAAGATAAGCTACTCTCCAGAGCAAGAAAACTTTTTTTATACCCTGACTTTAGTACACTTCTCCTTCCTGGCCCTCCTAGTTTGATTCTGGAGCATGTGAGTGCTAGTTTGCCTTTTGTTTTCTCAATGCCAGATTAAAAGAGACAGCACTAACATAGAATGTATTAAGCTGCTTAAAGCTTATGATGGAAAGATACTCATTATATCTGAATAAGCAGATCTGAAACAGTTCAACCCAAGACTTTTTTCCTTTTTTTGGAAACCTGGAGATTTTGTAAGCTTCATAAATTATGAGGTTGTGGTAAGCACTTCAAAATGCCAATCCCTGGAAGTAAAGAATTTGACAGGTAGTTGTGCAAATAGCCTAGTTTGCAGTAGACAAAGTATTGTCTTCAGTCAGGAAAAAAATACATAATTTGACCTTGAGTAAAAAGACCTCTCTGGATGGTGATTTGCAGCTGTTAGGTCTTAATCCTTGTTAGAGGAACTCCCCAAGTCTTGCTGAGACAGGGCTAATCAGGCATCCGAACGTGTGCAAGACTCCAGAGGAAGCTTTAGAAATAGCATGGAAGCACACAATAAGGTGAAAACAAAGAGGAATGAGTGCT